TTTCTGATACTAGTCAGCAAGGAGTATATGCAACCTCGAGGGGGAGATGTTACCTCTATTGCAGTTAGTGACGTTACCACTCAACTATTTGGATGACCGTGTTGCAAAACGATCGATAGAATTAGGTCGGACTCAGGACTAGACAACATGAAATTAGTTGCCCTCCATTGATCGATCAATGTATCTTTAAAATATCTTAACTTTAATTCTTTACTGCAATAATATTGTGTTAACTTATTGTTTGACCAACAACCTATGTGGTTTTTAGTAATTTTTATTATGGATTGATGTTATATGCGATAAAAACTTAAAGTCAAATAACGCAGTGGAGGTATTTCATCCTACTTTGAAATCCCATAAGAGTGAGCACTCGTGACACTACTATACATTGGACATAAGACTGCCATGTTTCTGAATAAGCAGTCAACTGCAACTACTAATCAGTCGTGCATCAGTAACCAGTAGGTATCTAGACGGAATTTTCGAAGTAATTCCACGAAGCCATAATTTGTGTCGGCAACGAAGACAGGTAATCGTCAACGACAATAGATAATCATCAGGTTGCACCTCAAATTGATTGAAACTTGTAAATTTGTATTGATTTAATCTTATCTAATGGCTGAATAACAACATGGTCATCTCGAGACCTATTAGTCTTGGTCCTCATTGGAAATGAAGGGTGCACTTCTGAGAAATTTGAAGCAGGAGAAAGCCATTCCCCACTTTTTCAATGGTTTACTGATTGGTTTCAATGAGTAGGGGAAAACATTTATAGATGAATGTATCTTTTATGACTATTTACAGATATCCAAACCAAGTTGGGATTTGATAGTGAAAAAATTTGGACATGGGATAAACGATATTCACTAATTTGGTATTAGTCTTTCCCAGTGAATGTAAAACAAATTAAAATTTATCAGTTGCAGTAGACCGGAATTTGCAATATCAAAGCTTATATATTGTAACGTGATAAGTATTCTTCTGCATAAATGATTCTGCGTTGTCAAATTGTAAAATAAAAATGACATCCACACATAGTGCATTGTGTGTGAAGATTGTCTGAATTACAGATTGAGATTTGTATGTACACATGTGTTGATAATTCTTATCGCCTTGATGTATGTTGGTTATGTCAACATGTGGGGTTGGGTTGAGGTCAGGTCAAACTACCTTTTATTACATCATCCGTATTTAGATAATTTTGATAACACTTAATGTGAAGAGATTCTGCTATGAGACGTTCTTTATAATTTCTAAAGCCTTTCTAGATAATTTCTATGCTGTCAAAATCGACCTTGTGATCTGTTATTATAGCATGTAGAGCTGATGTGTTTTCAAGTTTTTTTTCCAGCTCCATTAGATTTCTAGAGGGTTGGTTGAAAGCTCTTCGGTGTTCATTTTTCCTAATTTTTATTTCACGGGAAGTTTGTCCTATGTGTACTGCATCACAGTCTGAGCATTTTATTTTATAAACACTATTAGATTGTGAATCAAGAGGGATTTTGTCCTCCACTAAAGTACTCTGCAATGTGTTTCATATTTTGTAGAACACTGTGATATTGCATTAGTTGAGCACTCTCCTAATTTCGTCGGATGTGTGTGATCTGTATAGGATAACTATTGTTGAGGCCCATTATTTTATCAGTAAATGTAATGAACAGATAAAACAATAGTAAGCAATAAATTAACCCTTATTCTGGTATTTAATTAAAGGCCTCTAAATATACCTGTACTCTTTGTAGGTATGCAGAATCAAAACTCTCTGGGAAACAGTATTTGTCTTCAAGCGATTAAAACAATTTACTAATCAGTACTCATAAACATTCAACTTAGAAATAGAGTTTAGTGTTAATCACCTTCAACATTCTCACATTTCAAACTGAATAGTCTGATTAGAATGTCACTCTTTTAAAAGCCTAATACTATACTTTGTTATGAAGTTTAACAGAGATATAAACCTTTCGGGAGTTGTATTTTCAATGGTTTTTCTTTTATTGTATAAAAGTATTCAAACGAAATTTTATTGAGACGAAAAAGCTGAAAAGTGAAAGAAAAAAAATCAGTTTTCTTTCACACTGGTAGATAAACATACCTTTCCAATCTGTCTACCTGAATGATTGAAGAAGATGATTATAATGTCTAATACACAGTCAATCATCTATGATGGATAGAATGAAAGAGTGTGTTCCATAAAAATGTTTTAGTATTACGTTCCTCTTTTTCAAATGTGAAAGTGTTAAACTGTAGTTTAGCGAATGTATGAATCAGGTTGTGAGAAAGTAAGCAGAGTTTTATGTTAACTTATTTGCGATTATAAGCCGTAAGCGTGATTTATTTACTGCATTGGTGTTCTGGTGATATATATTTATATATATGCTAAAATAAGTGAGTTGAATTTCTCTCAGAAGTGCAACATTCATCTTCCACAATCCAGTGTTTCATCATGAAAACAATTGTTTCTGTATTTTAGTGCATCTGTGCCCCTAACTATTCTCTTTTCTGCTTGATTTTATTACATACCAATATATGGTATCCGTATAAATTGTTTTGAACTTAAGCCATGAAGATTCCCAGCTATACTTTGGCGTCACCAGTTTAGTTCTTCATAATTTTATAATTATTATTATTTTTCCCTTGGGTTCCTAGTGGGACATAGGGCTTCAGTAGCACGCCGCCATTTCATTCTGTTCTCTGTAGTCTTTTGGACCTGGCACCATGACTGCCCACAAGCTTTCATTTCTTCCTCACATGATCTCCTCCATGTCACTCTCGGCTCAGGCACCCAACTCGTCGCTTCCCATCTGGGCTCCACTCGAGCGCCTTGCCCGGCGCGTGATGTCCCCAGTTGGCCTTCTCAGTGTACTTCCAATCCAATCTATCTCCGCCTTTTTCATATTTGTTGGGCAATGGGTTCTTGGTTGGTTCGTTGGCAGGCCAGAGTTTCTTGTTGTTTATTCTTTGTGGCCATCTGAGCTTTACTAACCAGAGTAGGCAGTTGTTAATGAATGTCTGTAGTTTGTTGGAAGTGGTTTTCATGACGCGCCAAGTTCCTGAACCATATAGCAGCACTGGTTTGACGTATGTGTTGAAATGCGTATCTTGTTCTTAGTGCTGAGTGCAGATTAGTGAAAGGCTATCTTGCTGTATTTCCCATCCTGGTTTTGACATTTTCATGTGTGCCTGTGCCGCCTGTAGTTGAAAGGATGCTGCTTTGCCTAGGTAGGTGAAAGAGACTGCTTCCTTTAGATTTCTTCCGAGTTCGCCATAAAACAATAACTAATACATCAGTCGGTTAGGTCAACCCCTCTAAATTTATGGAACTGTTGAACAAGTATAGTTGCAACAGTCCAGTCAATCACCGTTAGCTACAGTTTCCGATTTAAGTAGATACAAACGGGAAAACTGATAAGAACCAGGGTAGACTGCATAGATATTAGGTTTAAGTTTAAGATTTCTCTAAAATGACATCGACTAACTATTCAAATCATATAATCAAATTGTAATACGCTGATAAAATGACAAACAGTCACCTACTAATCATTCATTAATCTGCTAGAGATTTGTTTAACATTGATGTTTTTTCCCTTTATTTAGCCTGTTTTATGAAGTGTGTATTTAATTTCGTCGACAGTTAAGGTTTTGCTTTTACCTATCATTATAATATCAAGTGCAATACTTTTGTTTATCAGCCATGGTTTTTCTATTAGTGGGATAGATTTAAATCCAAGTACAATTGGATATTGTAAATACTAAATGAATTGAAATGGATGAAATACTAGCTTACTTCACTAGTTCAGATGAAAGTCTGTTAATCGTTTAGTAGCATTTTTGATTTACGATTTCCAGAACATTTCACTAATCACTCATACTACAGATTTCTATGCAAAGATACTATGTGACGTCATGTTTAGTTGCAGGATGATATATATATATATATATATATATATATATATATATATATATATATATATAGCTGCATTTTAATGGTTGCATTTTGTGGATTAAGACCGGTAATATTTGGGCATCAACTTTCACAATATAAAGACAAACAGGTTTTTTCAAAAATTATACAAATTGGCCGTCTTTCTATAGCATAAAAACCAACCTTGAAAGAAATCGTATTAACTTATTATACCGATCAGTCGGTCAACCGATTTGCCTCTAACCTTACTTGACAGACAGGAAAAATGCATTAAACATTGATGGGGATTCTATAGTGACACGTTTCATGATTAACCACTTCCTAGATGACAACTGGACGAAAATACTGAATTGGAAATCAGTTGATGACAATACCCATATCCCTATTTCTTACACTATTAAAGCTGTTATGGAACTTTTTGTTTTTCCTACCTCTCCTTTTTAATAAATTACCTTGAAATTGGAATTTACGTTTGTGTATGCTATTTTCAAGGGTAGAACTGGTGTTATTCAGTAAAGTTGAGTAGCTTATTTACTTATAAGCATTACAATGTGCTTTTATTTCGATGCTCAGTCTTTCGAAGCAGTCTCATAAAAAACACTAGGGATCAGTTTTTAATGATTATCTTTAAGGTGAAGCTATAGGATCTAAGATATGTTTGCTTCTTTGCACTATAAACCACTGTTGTTTTACTGTCCAAACTGACAGGTCTCTTGTAAACTGTTCAGATAAAAAGATGCCGGATCTCAACAACTTACTATCTGATTTATTTATCCGTATTAAATAAAAGTAAGCACTTCAAGTGCACACTATAGGTCAATTCATTCCGGTGTTAAAGTTCACGTGAAGTCTAACAATATTCCCTAAATTTAGGTTTCACATTCACATTTGTCCACTGACAACGACTATCTCAAACGCTTGTGAAACCTCTACTAGACACTATATGAGGTACTATTATGTAACTTCGGGTTGTCTTCTGTTCAAGGAATTCACTTATGAAATAATAATTCTATTTTGCAGTATTTCGTTTAGAATTTTATTTATTTAAAAGTTTATTTGATGTGTATTTCTTCTACAGTTGAGGTTGCTGTCAAAGTGATTGATAGGACAAAATTTGATGAAAAAACTCGACGGTTACTTTCTCAAGAGTTAACAAATATGGAACGTTTACATCATCCACATATAATACGTGTTTATGAAGTACACGAGGTTTTACAACGATGGCATCTAGTCATGGAATATGCTCCAAAGGGTGAACTTAATTCACATTTAAAGAGATCTGGTCGACTAGATGAAAAAACAGCCAGGAATTATTCTTCCCAGATACTTTCAGCTCTCGACCATTTAGTAAGTTGTCTGGAAGCTTTTTCGTTTGAAAATATCAACTTACATGTTTAATAGACCTTTTTTCAGCTTTGAAGAGTGATAATATTTATTTCCAGGATGACACTGTTGATAGTTAGATTTCTGGTGACCATCTGAGTCACATAATTGATACCTCATAAAAAATTTTCACAGAAAACTATTTCCCGATAAGAATTCCTATTATACTGAATTGCAGTTTGATATGCACTACCGAGTTGAGATATTTTGCTTTAGTTTACTAATTCTTCTTGTTTATAATTAAAGAAGTCGGACAACTGCATTTTGATTGATGACAATCATTTTTAGAAATAAGTTTTCACTTGGTACACAACACTTAATCAAAGTGGTTTCAATATCCGTTTCTCTTGCTTCTTATGTCATACCACTTCCCCAATTTGAAAATCCTATAAGATTGATATTCAGATACTTCAAGAGAATAGACTCAGTGAGCTGGAGTACAACTGTTCATTCTTTTTTGTGAATCAACTAGAATCAGTCAGTCAGAAGATGACAGGGTTGACTTTCATATTGGAATCCTGATACTCTGGAACCTTATATATTGTTTGATATTTCATGAATCATGATTATTCCTTAAATGAAGCTTCGAAAGCGTTAATTACCCTCTTTTTACCCTGCAAATAAAATTAAGCAAGGTATCTGTAATTTGTTCAACTTCAGTTAAGTAAATAATATGATTTTGCATTAGTGGGTATTTCTTACTGCCCACTTCGAGGTTATAAGTTCAAATATTTGCATCACCTAGTTGCGTAAATTTAAACAAATCTGTTCTAGAACTTCAGCTGCTTTCTTTAATGACTGAAAATTCTTTTTTAAGTACAGCATTGATAAGATTTTTTCATATAAATCGAAATACCCCTATTTATTCGGTTTTTGAAAGATTTCATTTATATAGCTTTGACTCAATTTGAACAGACTATATGGTATAAAGTAGGGAACGAGCTGAACATCAATGTACTGCCTCAATGTGTTTGGTTCGATATTTCTGTATATTAAATTGACATGAGGATGCTGTTTTTAACATTTCACTTACTCACTACCTAAAAAGCAATACAACAAATTTCCATATATTGGATTTCTTTGAAACTGGGTGAGCTGTTGTCCTTCTGCATAATCTCTATCTATTGAAAACATGAAATATATCTGCGAGTCTGAGTGAATACAGTTTGAAATGATGCTTATTACCATGTTGGCTAAAATAAGTATGTTTCTGTCATTTCTCTTCATTAAACGTTATAGAACTGAAAAAGATGACCCACATCACCGCCAAACTCTGGGATAAGTGAATCATTTCTTCTTTCTTTGAGTCATTTGATCTAGCTATTAGTTATACTTCATTCTGGAATAGTTAATCATTACAATAGTGTGATTAGAAGAAATCATCTTGGTATTCACTATCATTTGACTGTATGAGATAGCCGTAGTTTGGCAGACTAGTATTTACACTGGGTGATGACTGAACGTGGAACGAAAATGTAGACCGAGGCCGGATTCGAACCAGCAACCACCAGGTTACCGGCCCTGTGCTCTACCAACTGAGCTATGAGGTCCAACTACTGACCGATATTCACCGATGTAAAACTTGTGATTTCTTTCAAGCAAAGTCTTTGTCTAGTGGTCGATGAAGAGAAAAGATCATTTCAGTAATTTTTATCGGATCAGATATTCTCTATAAAAAGCAAACTCAGATTATGGTGACACGTGCCAAGCAGCAAATGTACAACAATCTCGTATTGAACTAAGCAGTTATCTGTACAGATCAGTTTTGCATATCATAAACGAAGAAGAATTACGAAAACTTCGTCGATAGATTGATTAGCTAATGGCATCAGCTACTTTCCACCCTTATCTCTTTTTCGACCTTCGTTACTTACGCACTGGAAGAGGGAATATGTGAGCCATGTACAGAAGCTATCGAAATTGCTAGGTGCAGGTAAGGAAGCTGTTTATGTGATTATACAGTGTAAACGCTATCGCCAAGCATCAAAACACCAAAGAAAGAGTTCTGTAAGAGTGAGTAATGCATTTAAAAGCCAAGCGAATCCTGTATGCTTATTTCAGGTGTCTAATCAGTGATGTGCTACAAACTGAGGTGTCTAAAATTACTTCCTGCATGGAATTTCTCACTGATTATCATATTGAACCACTCTCTCTTGGCATATGGGTTCCATGAAAAGCCACCTCAATATTATTACCCCAAGCTTCCTTTTGAATTATGAAAAACAAAACACTTTATCTGAAGTTGTATTGAAGATTATAACTAAACTTTGTCGCTAGAAGTTTAATCTAAGCGAACATACCATATTCAAAAACATCATTCACAGTAACTCCAATAAGGAGAGTTTTCACTCAGCATGGCCAGAAAGGATAAGCAACAAGGAACTCTGGCAACGAACCAATTAAGAACCTATCACTCAACAAATATGCAGAAGGAAGTGGAGATGGATTGGGCATACACTGAGAAGGCCGACTGGGGACATCACGCGCCAGGCCAGGCCCTTGAGTGGAACCCAGATGGAAAGCTACGAGTTGGGCGTTCGAGGTGAGAGTGACATGGAGAAGATTGTGTGAGGAAGAAACGAGAGCTTGTGGGCTGTCGTGGAGCGAGATTCAAAAGATTTCAGAGAAGAGAGTGCACTGGAGACGTTCTATTGAAGCCCTATTTTCCACTAGGAACCCAAGGGACAAGAATAAAAAATAATAAAATGGCTTACTTGAAACACTGATCTCAAGTAACGTGAATCTGTTCATCTTGTCTATGTTTCAGAAATTGAGCAAGCACTTCTAAATCAAACAGATTCTCTATCAAGCATAGTCGAATAAATAAGAGAAATATTGGTGAATAAATCCAAAAAAGATCTCAAAGCTCTACGACAGCGGACAACCGATGAGATCATTGAGAAGCTTCTCACTAGCTGAAGAAGCACTTTATAAGCGGGTTAATTTAAAAAGGTCCAACTGGCAACATTTAAAATACTTAGAAGCTATACAAGCTTTATTATCTTCTAATACAGTGCAAGTGTCGATAATTACTTATCTTGTCTCTAGAAGGCTCTATACATGAAAATGTAATCCAAACCATGAGCTATTATTGAAAACATCCATATTAGGTAACCAGTAAGGTTATTAAACACCTTTCAGGAGAATTTAGGATAGCTGTGAAAACTGCCTACAAACTTTTTATGAAATCAATAGTCTAACATCATCACCGTTTTTTCCGACAGATTTTTTCAAACTCCTCTGCATTGAACCACGTCGCAGGACGTTTTAAATCATAAAATAATGAACAAGATTTGAAGGTTTTTACAGTCATGAACGTCGACTATTAGAAAACATCAACAAAGTAACCTTTACCAGACTCATGAGCTAAGCGTACATGCATCTCAGTGATGTTGTAACAACTGAAATTAAAACAGGACTTATTAATATGAATACGAAGGTTTGATATGTGAACGAGTTTAAAGGCTACCGCACAAACGATTAAAATCGACAATTAGGCTTTCTTATTTAGGCTGACAAAGGCAGATGATCATAAAATGTAGAAGTTTAATTGGTTATTTCAATTGTAGCTAGGGTGGCTTTTAAATTCATACGTGATATGCTACTAATGTAGTATAGTAAGCTCTGATTCTACTTGTTCTAGTTGTCAATAACAATTGAATTCGGCTGCTGTTACTTTCAAGATTCATTTGCAATTTTTGAGTTAAGATATTATCTTCTTGAATGTTGAATCAATGTCGCTAACGATATTATGTAAATATTTTACAGTATGTAATCATCATCATTATCTTTATAATGATGAATGAAAGATAAATAAATATACATGCATAAATACCAAGTAATCAGCAAACAGGTTCCTGTATCATTGTTTCTAGCTCTAATTTCCTTATATTGAAAAATATGTACTCCAAAACTCTCACTAAGCAACTTTTCAAACTATTAAGTGGTGCGTTCGCGAGAGCGGAGTCATTATTATACATATTATATACCTAAGGGGTTTGTCTTTCCCTATCAGAAATTAGTTGTGTTTGTTTATTTACATCTAGGTAGCATGGATTGTTTACTACACACCACAGTATTCAGGAAGATTACTCGGTGTTTACTGTAAGTATTTTCTTGCTCAGAATATATAAAGCCTTCCCAGTTTTTTCAATAAATTTCCAACTGGACCAATCACAGTTTATCTATCGTTTTTCAAATGCAAATTACAAAAAAATGAATTAAATAATCGGAAAATGTTTTTCTTCACTGAAATACCCTTTTCATTATGACACTTGATCACCGATAAGGCCTTAACTTCTAATATTTTCACTGCTGTATCATGCAATATCAGATGATCACATAACCGACGTCATTAAAAAATATGAGTATTCAGATGACTCAACGAACTCATAGGGAATCTCTTAATGCAACAAGAATTTTCTTAACAAGTTCGCATAAACAAGACGACAATATACTTCTTTTTCACTGTTTACTGGATAACGTAAGGTTCTATAGTAATATGTCAAGGAAATTAGGATGAAACTACTATTTCGTTTCTTCTGGTTTTCGATAGTTCTTCATAGAAAATCACTTCATGTGAAAAGAATCAATTATATAGTTGTGTCAGACAGAGAGGAGGAAAAGCTATTCGTTAAATTAACACACCACTGTTGGTATCAAATGGACCTGAATAATTTCTAAGCAGATAAATATATTTGTATCTTTGTCAACCTTTACATTAAAATTATAGTATTATGCTTTATGCAAGCACACAATTATTTTCAATATTGAGTTACAGTTTTTAATTTTATACCAGTGGCAAACATTCTACCACTTTCTTGTACAATAGAATTACTTACATAACCTCTTCAAAAGAAATTTAAAATATAGATATTCATTTCAAGAAGTCCTCAAAATTAATTGTCTCTTTTTTTTTTTGTTGTTGATTGTATGTTGTAATTAAATTAATTACAATTGATAGT